GGGGGCGGCTGTTTTGGGAAGTGGCTCTGGCAGCAATGACCCACATCCATCTGTGTTCCACACAAAAAGAGAAAAGACAGGTCCCAAACCTCCCACCACACCTCAGGGCCACCTCGGGCCACTCGCGATGCTACGCACGGGCGGCTCAAACGATTCTGGAGCCTGGACGGCTGAGACCAGGGTGCCGGCAGACTCGGTTTTGGGCACAGCTGTTTCCCTGGCCTGCAGACACCGCCTTGTCACCGTGTCCTCACATGGCCTTTCCTCAGCCCCGGGGCAGGCGGGGGGGGGTGGGGTAGCACTGGTGCCTCTTGTGAGGATGCCCCACCCTGTGACCTTGCTTAGCCCCGAATACCTCAGAGCTCTGTCTCCAGACACAGGCAGCCTGGGGTCAGGGCTCAGTGTGTCCATCTGTGGGGACGGGGACATGGACATGCAGTGCACACAGGGCTCACCAGGGAGGGACTCTAGTGAAGGCCAAGAACCGGGACGATTTAGCCCGTGATGGTATATTCGTCAGGCCCGGTCACGGATCATTAAGGGGCCAAGGAGAGTTCGCTCCTGACCACTGACCAACGTGGCACCTGCGGGAGGTCCCGGGACACGTTTGTGATGCGAGGCCTCTGGGCCTGCCCGACCAGTGAGGGAAGCAGAGCCGTCCTGCCCGGGGGACCAAGCAACTGGCATGGCTCCAGGAGAGGCGTGTGTGGAACTGGGTGCCAGAGGCACAGCCCAAGCAGTCAGAGGGGCCCGGCCGTGACCACGGGGTGCGTGAAGAAGGACGGGGGCCGTGCGCCAGAGTGCGAAGGGGTGCAGGTCCTTCCATCCTCCCTGCTCAGCTTGGTTTACGAGACTGTGCCCCCCCCAGGGACGCTCCCACCTGTGTGGCTCACTGGGGGACACCGTCCAAGTGCCAGGCCTTTATGGACTTCAGGCCACCCGTCACCTTGCATGCCGCTTCCCACGCATCCTGCGGAGTCTCCCGGATGAGCCGGTGCTGCTGCTTCTGCTCAGGGTGGGGGGCTTTTCGGACCTGCACATGCTGGGTCTCAGTCCTGGAAGGCGCCCGGCTGCAGCGGGCCTCACCTCGGGGTCCTTCACGCTCCTCTTCTGCCCACCTCCCCTCCCTTTCCTCTCATCAGCCCCCAACGGTCCCCTTGTGAGTCGTGAGATTTATGAGTGGAAAACCCCGCTCTTGGGTACAAGCAGAGGGTTGTAACTCAGAAGCACCGGCCCTGTGCTCTAAGCCAAGACCAAATAAATAAAATAAACCCACTGCCTTCTAAAATTCATGGAAGTCAACACGAAAGTAAACATTACAGGGAACATTTCAGGCCATTGTGACCTTCTGAGGTTGAAGCTTTCCAGCTCGCGTCCTTCCCAAAGGTGACTTTTTATGGACACTTTAAGGAAATTAATTCACCCGCTCCTGAGTCAGGAAGCACAGATTAAGATCCAGTTTTTAGAGCTGCACATTTTCTAGCTACATGGTGGAAATGAGTTCAGGAAGTGTTTAGAATCTCCTGACAATGTACAATTTTGGAATCCTTGATAGAAAAGGTGTGACAGAGAAATCAGGCTTGCTGTCACTCAGTGGTGACAATCACAACACTGCCACGGCGCAGCTGGACAACCCGCAGCAAGCGTGGAGTCAGCCTTTCAGGCTCAGGCAGACGTGAAGATGTCCCCTGCATCAGTGGGGGCCGTGGGCCCAGAGGTGACGTGGGAACATCACTGTACTTCTGGTCAAGAGCGAGGCACTCAGGTGGACACTCGGACAGCCATCTGAACTCCTGGGAACAGCAGCATCCAGGCCTTTGTAAGACTGCCAACCCCGGCCTGGCTGGGCACAGCTGGACCAGGCCGGAGAGCAAGTGACCGGTCCCCTCCCAACCTCCCAGGCAGGAGACCGTCTGCATGGAGTGTCAGTGTGAGGCAGGTGAAGTGACAGCTCCACAGGGCGGCCCTGAACCCGGCCCCAGCTGTCCTAACAGCCCAGTCGCTCCATCGGTAAAAGATGTGCTTCACAGAGGCAAGTGTGGGGACCGCGCCCCCACATGCTGGCGCCATGCGACGGCACTGAGCCACCTTTTGGATGACTTTCTCAGCTTCTCAGTCACATCACAGCCCTCCTGGAAAAGCACAGTCGTCCTGCACAAGCGGTAACACTCTAGGTCACCACAGGAAGCTGAGCTCAATACCCCTGGGGCTGACAGTGACACCAAGGAGTCCGGGCCAGGGACGTGGGCGTGGCAGCCCGAGTGCCCAGGGGACGTGCCCCGCGTCTGAAGCCCCGCTCCGCTCGGCTGTCCCCTTGAGCAGCCATCAGCTTCGTGGACAGAGCCCCAGCTCAGCGGCCACCCTGCTCATCCGGAAGTGCATAAATTCCTGTGACACTCACATGCAAAGAAGCAAGCAATGGTTTCAACAGTTATTTGACTAATTTGAACTCCCTAGCCGGTAGCACCGGTGCGAAGGGTCTGCAGGACGAGAACCCGAGCCCCCCAACCAGGACAGCAGCAGTGCCGAGACTTTCCTGGCTATTTACACATTTGAGTTTTTCCTATTTATAAAGTTAATACACTTCAGCAAGAAACTGAAAAACCTGGAAAGACAAAACCCCTGGAACGTCTCCACTCCGAGAGGCCTGCTGTTAACACGTGCGTGTGTCCAGTTCCCAGGGGCTGGGCTGGCCGGGAGCGTGTCCCCTGCAGGGTCACAGAGGACGCTGCGTGCTGACACGGTGCGCGTGCCCCCCTCAGCATCCCCACGGGCAACGCCCTTCACAGGGACACCTGAGGTGCGTGGAGGTCAGCAGGGTCGCCGGGGTGAGCTGTCACACACGCCCACGACAGACCTCCTCCCTGAGGGACGCAGGAGGGACTGTGAGAGCCTGCGTGGAGCCCCCACCCCGAGTGACAAAGCTGACCACACGCCTTTGACCCCTCAGAGGCCCCACTGGCTGAGCGACTGTTGATTTTTAATTCAAACCCACTTGAGGGGACGGACGCCACTGTCAGCTCACTTCCACTTGGAACACAGAAGCCCAAAGCTCCGCCCCCAACGGCACCGAGTGACCTACACGTTTGCAAGTTCTCGTGGGCCCATCAGAGACCCGAGGTCCCAGGGCAACCAATAACCTGAAGTCTAGGCAAACACAGCGCTCCCGGGGACATCGTGGACACCGGGAGGGAGGCTCAGACAAAACTCAGACATAATTCCGAGTGTGGCCAGTGAGAGAGCCCAGGACCCTGGCAACTACAGGGGTCCAGGACGGAGATCTGCACCCTGTCCTCCAGGGACCTCGCAGCTGCTCACAGAGAAGAGGGGACCGGCCAGGGTCCTGCCCCAGGGGTGGGGGAGCAGAAGAGGCCCCACCTGAGATGCAGCCTGTGGACGGCGCCTGGCCCCGTGCCTCCTCCAGGAAGCCCTCCAGCCCACACGACCCTCAGTGACCCTCACTGAGCTCCCCCATGGCGGCCCCCGTTCTCTGCCGAGCTCTAAACCTACTTTTGTGGAAGTGTCTCATGAGCTTGCGCCTCCAGCCATGGGGGTTGGGGTGAACAGACAGCCGGGTGGAGGCCTTGTAACCCAAAGGGAAAGTGTGTGGCTTTCTGTGGAGGACCCACCTGGGCTGGGTGCTGGGTGAGCTCCAGGCCTGGGCTGCCAAATCTCGGCTCACTGTCCCTGCCCAAAGGTACCCAGAGGCAGGTGGCCTGCGGGGGCACATGTGTACGGGGGGAAAGACGGTCACCCACAGGAGCTCTGGACATGACCGATGCCTCAGCCACCAGCCCACAGGACCAAGTGGGCTCAGCACACCGCATGGCCACACAGCCTTCTGTGGTTGGCCTGCCCTGGGGGCAGAACGGCCTTTCCACGAGGGGACATCTCAGCGCGCTCAGGACCAGCCCTGCACTACCAACAAGGGGTCCACATCCCAGAGCACAGTGGGAACATGGATGGGTGGGCTTCAGACAGGGGCTGAGACCACCCCGTGCAGAGTTCTCACACAGAGCGGGGCTCTCAGACTATCTGGGGTTCCTGCTCCCATGAGGGGGCCCTGAGGAAGGGCCGGCGAGGGTGCCCAGCTGGCATGCACAGTGGGCAGGGGTGCCTGCAGGCCCCTGATCGGCTCACAGGAAGTCAGATATGAAGGCGGCTGAGTCCTCGGGAAAACTGCCTCCCTCTCCTGGGAGGCCAGCGAAAGCCAGCAGCGGGGAGCGGCTGAGTCACACCTCAGACACGTCACAGTACAAACTGCTCCCACTGGAGTGAGACAGACCTAGTCCACACCGTCCCGGCCTCGGCCCTCGCCCGCCGTCCATCCTCACTGCGGCCCACGGCGTTTCGTTCAGCAGCGCGGGGAGGGGCCAGGTGACTCCCCAGGCATCAGGCACAACGGTCTCAACCCTCCCTGGTGCCCACACCTGCCCACTGCAGACACTACCACCTGCTCCCGAAGACACAGCATAAGTCATGATTTTGTAAGACGTTCAGACTTAATTCAGGGGTAATGGCGGTAATCACGGGTTTTAAAATAGGGTGGTGACAAGCACACTTCTTTCTCAGAAGCCGAGCCAGGCCACACGGAGAATAGGGCCGGCCGGGAGTGGCGGTGTGGCCGACTGCCAAGGCCACGGTGAGGGTCTGACACGGCACCCCAGGTGCTAAGAGGGGCCGGGTCTCACAGCAGCCCCAGGACAGGCGAAGCAGCAACACGACGTCGGCCACCAGTGTTTAACCTGCTAACAGCAGGACAGGGCCTGCTGAGCTCAGCCGGGCCCTGCTCCCCCAGAGTGGACCTGCCGGGTGCCCAGGGCCCTTGCAGCGTGTGAGGCCACGAGAGGCCGCCGGCCCCTGCCCCTCCCGCCAGGGCTGCTCTGGCCCATCGGCGTTGAGCGGACCCTCCTCCAAGTGGTTACCCAGGACAAGAGGCGCAGCCTGGCTCACCCCAGCACGGTGAGCGGGACCCCGCTGGGCACGGGTGAGAGTCCTACCTTGGAAGAAGCTCTTCACCCGGAGGTAACTGACACTGAGACGCAGGACCGAAAGCTTGTCCAGCTTGGAGACGACGTCCGGCGGCAGCGGCAGCAGGCTGGCCAGGTGGTCCAGCTCGGCGTTGAGGCGGTCCCGGTGCCGCTTGGAGGGGTTCGACCTCTCGGCCCCCGCGGCAGCCTTCCTGCGGGGAACCACCACAGTCAGACGGGTTCGTCCACCAGAGGCCATCAGCCGCACTGGTGGGGACCTGCTCCCAGGAGTGACCTTACTAGGAGTGATCAGGTTCAAAATGGAGCTGCCGCGAGGAGCAAGGTGCTGAAGACGATGAAAAGTCACCCTTCCCTGAGGTTGTTCATGCTGGGAAACTACAGCCGCACCTCAGGGACTGGACACCTCCCCTCCCTTTCCTCTCATCAGCCCCCAACGGTCCCCTTGTGAGTCGTGAGATTTATGAGTGGAAAACCCCGCTCTTGGGTACAAGCAGAGGGTTGTAACTCAGAAGCACCGGCCCTGTGCTCTAAGCCAAGACCAAATAAATAAAATAAACCCACTGCCTTCTAAAATTCATGGAAGTCAACACGAAAGTAAACATTACAGGGAACATTTCAGGCCATTGTGACCTTCTGAGGTTGAAGCTTTCCAGCTCGCGTCCTTCCCAAAGGTGACTTTTTATGGACACTTTAAGGAAATTAATTCACCCGCTCCTGAGTCAGGAAGCACAGATTAAGATCCAGTTTTTAGAGCTGCACATTTTCTAGCTACATGGTGGAAATGAGTTCAGGAAGTGTTTAGAATCTCCTGACAATGTACAATTTTGGAATCCTTGATAGAAAAGGTGTGACAGAGAAATCAGGCTTGCTGTCACTCAGTGGTGACAATCACAACACTGCCACGGCGCAGCTGGACAACCCGCAGCAAGCGTGGAGTCAGCCTTTCAGGCTCAGGCAGACGTGAAGATGTCCCCTGCATCAGTGGGGGCCGTGGGCCCAG